GTGGTGGTATTGTTCCCTGTTACATGGATCTACCTGGGACTCCAAAGGAACCTTTCGATGTTGGGTGCAATTTAGGGTATATTAAAGTATAGGGAGGGGTATGAATCAACTAGTAGATAGTTCTCAAAGCTGAGAATAAAAGTACCAAACTAATATTCCTGAGAAGAGAGATTTTGAATTCTAAATTCTGTGGATTCCTAATTACAGGAAAAGACACTTCAATTTGACTTAAAAATTATTAAAGAATCAAGGAAATGATGGTACCTATAAAAGTTTCATGTAATATACATAAAATGCATAAATATATTTATATATATCACATTGTTGTTGGTATATTTTTAATTTTGAAAATACCCTATGTGTGCAACCTTGACCATATTTTCCTTAGTGTTATGATGAAGATAAAAAATGAAATGAAGACTTGGTAATTCTCCCCAAGGTGTTTGGGTAAGCTGTATGGACTTCCTCTACCACACAAGCAATGCTTAGGAGTGTGCCTGGGGAGCTCGGAAGGGTTAAAGTTTTGTCTGTGACACTGAAATTGAGGCCAGCTGTAGGTCATATTCACGTCCCAGTCACAGGAAAATGAACCTGTGAGACAGAACCTAATTATCTGCTAAACCAAAAGCCAGTCTCAGTTCAATAACTTACGACAGAGCTAGCAGCCAGATATAGTGTTACCATGGCAACTTTGGAAAAAGCTCCACTGTGGTTGAGAATAAGAAGGAAGGGAAAGAGAGTGTAACCCTAAATGTGCTGTAGCTGTTTGATCTCTGACAAGTGGGTCCATCTAGAAAACCAGGTTATTCTGTACATGACTACCAATGTCTATTCATTTTAATATCTGCTACAATTATTGAAAAGAAAAATACAATTGCAATGTCCTCTGGACTTAAAAATGAACCACTAGTTAATGACTAAATGAGAATTAATCTTAAAATGAAAAGCATAAGCCTCCTCTTTCTCTTCCTCCATGCCATCCCCAAATACAGATAAAGCAGGACACAGAATAGGGAAGATTCTTGAATACCTCATCATTGTTCAGAATGAAGTTTGTGTCCATGAAATTCATTGTCACATTATTTTACTCTGCATCCCAAATGTCAAGATATTTTTTGAGGAAAAACTTTTAGAAATTGAAGTAATAGTATTTACTTTTATAAGGGGGTAGAAGGAGAATTGGAGAGCAGGGGAGAAAAAAATGTTTCTTTCTGAATTCTGTCTAAACTTTCAAGTGAAATAATTTCCTAGGATATTGTGTTAAGAATCAAACATTAGAGGAGGTTAGCAGTGCCAAGTTGGTCATTTTTCTTCTTGCCAGTTCATATTTGTAGTTCTTTTTAGAGGACTGCTGGATTTCTGAATTTGAGAGATGATACAGCTTTATGCACATAAAAACTTCAGAAGCCAGTTACCATGAATACTGTGAAAACAACATCTCACTAAAAATATTAGCAAAGAAACAAGAGCTTACCACACAGTCATATGCACTTCGAGGAAGAATTCAGAAACACATTCCTCTATTTTTTTAAAATCGTTCCCAGTGGAGACAAATCAGGCTAAAGCTTGTCAGTTACAATTATTGGATTTCAACATATTTGACAATTTGGGTATGTCATTAATGAAGTAATAAGACACATGCAGCCCATAATGTTATCACTTGGGTTTGTTATCCAGGTGTAAGACCAAATTTGAATCACATACATATCCATGTATAAATATATAGCTATAGCAGCATGTTTCTTTATGTATAACTCATATACCCACTGGGTTTGGAATAAGTAGAGGAAGGAATACTGAGATGAATAATATTCTTTTCATATGCATGAATAACTTTGCAGTAATGCAAATGAGAAAACACAAAATGGAAAGTAGGTTTCTTCTAGCAGAAATATGACTAAGAATGTAGCCTGAAATTTGCCAATAAATTAGTCACTTATGATATCTGCAAATTTTCTTTAAGATGTCACATCTTTTAAAAACACTTTACCCTACCCTATTATATTATATATTCAGTATATAATTATGTAAATATGGAAATTCACAACTTCAAATTCCTCTAAACTACCAGGATGCATGAAAGGGAGCTTTAACACTGTAAGAAGATAAAAAGTGGGAGGGGGATGGGGACATAGGAATGCAACACCAAAGGGCAAAATGAAATTTCTGATTAATTTCCAGGTAGAAGTAACCTAACCTCTGCTTATGACCTTAACTTTCCAACTAAATGGAAGCCAGAAAGTATACCCTTTTCTAAGACAGATGTTTCTCAGATCTGATTATTAAAAGACCTGCAAAGATGCCAACTGAAACAGTGAAGTCCAATACACTGTTTGGATTTTGTTACTCTTAATATAAGTTTTACTCTTAATCTTTCCGCTTATATGAATTAATTAGTTAGGAAAGAAAATGAAGCAATTTTATCAGGAAAGCATCTGAAAGAGCTATTGATTCAAATGCTTTTACAATTTAGCCTTATCACACACGATTAGCTTGCAGATATGAGCTTAGTCATGATGCAAAGCACCAGATTTTACTTGATTCTATGTTCCACTTGAATTCCCAGGAAAGATATTGGAAGCACGAACAAAGAAGTTATACTTTCTTTCTCACAATGCTTTTAGTGAGTAATTTTGAAGAGGTGTGCCATAACTTCACATAGCACAGTCTCTCTACACTGTTCCATTGCAGATTTCTTTAGCAGCATCATCAATATTTCCTATATGCTGTGGGTAGGGTGTGTGTGTGTGTGTGTGTGTGTGTGTGTGTGTGTGTGTGTGTGTGCTTTGCTTTGCTTATTTCTAATTGTAATCCTAAAATCCCTAAGTGAGAACTGTGTGAAGTATATGCTTCATCCAGCATAAATACATTGATATGTTCAATTAACATTAAAAGAAATATAATAAAATAAATTGTAGCTGCAACTGATTTTACAACTTAAAATAATTTGCTTGCCATATGGAAGGTATTTAATGTGTTTGTTGACTGAGTGAATGAATAAATGGGCCTATTTATTAAGGGTGAAGAACTTGATTATATGCATAAAGACAAAAGAAGAAAAAGTAAAGTCTTGAAAGAAATTTAGGGAAAAAGACTAAATCCTATGCTTAACTTTGGATAAACTACATGAAAAAGGTTCCAAGTTTCAAGGTTCTTAATTCACTCACTAAAACGGAAAAGGAAAAGAAAATCTAGGACTATAGTTTTCACTACTGGTTCTACTATTTTAAAATGGACTAGAATATTTTAGAATTTAATGTGTAATAAAGGTGTAATTACACATTTCTGATGTCAACTTTCTCCCTATTAAGGTTGATCATTGTTTTCTTGTCTATACTAACTTCTGATAGCATGTGTCTGGGTGTGTTGATCTTTCACCCTTGGAAAGTTCATGAAAACTCTTCCCTCAGCATTAAAACTACATAATGTTACCCAGCTTGCTGATTAAATCCCTACCCTTGACTTCAGCTGATGTTTTGGATCCTCTGAAATTCCAGAGAATCTTCTATATGTTGTGAGCTTTCTCCTTGATACCTTTTGAAGACATGCCACATTTTTCCAGTTCTCTTCCATTCCTTGGTAAGGACGTTCTTGGGAAAAAGTGATGGGTTAAGGATTTGAGGGAAGGGTGATCAAGTTCAAACCATCTCTAGTTCTTCCCATTGCCATTCCCACAAGCATCTGTAGAGCTGTCTTCTTCCAGGCTTCCCGCTGGGAAGGGATCATAACTATTTTGGCTCTTATGTCATCATAATCATCTAAGGGGTACCTGTTACTCACTTCTCTTCCCCAGAGGGTACAAAACTTTGAGTAAAATAGGGAATACTTACCTACATTCCATTTTTCCCCTCTCTCTCTCTGCTACTCTAGTCTCTTCATTGCTTCTTGCCTAGAAAATTTCATTGAGTTCTGCATGATGGGCAACTGCCACCAGATTACCTAAAGCCTTCTCTACTTTATAGTTAACTTTTATAAACTCTATGATCCAGTTCTCTAGGATTAGGCTAATATTTCCGGCCATTACCTTTAGAAATTAAAAATAAAACCATTTCCTTCTCAAGAGCCTATCTCTTCTAAATCAGAGCAATTTGTTTTGAGTTTATTGTACTGGTTACACGTTTAAAAAGTAATCTAATAGGCACTTCAAATATTCTATTGATCCTATTCTTGATTGTTTCTTCCCTACTATGAAAACAGTAAGTGTCATAGATCAAATGAGTAGACAACAATAAAGCAACAAGCATAATTTTGGGAGGTAATACTTTTGGGTTAAATTTTCCATTATTCCACTATATGGTGAATCACTTAGCTCTGTCAATTCTACCACCTAAGTCTTTCTCTGATCCCTCCTTATCATTCTAGTCCTACTGCCATCACCTTCATTCAGGTCATTATCATCTGTTCTAAATCATATTCCAAGGCAGTCATTATATATAATTATATAAAAGTACATTTATCATCATAGTGCTGTTTACGTTAGTTAAAAGTAAGATTGAAATAAACTCAATTTATACCTATGAGGCAAATGGTTAAATAAATTATATTATTGTATCATAAAACAATAACATATTGAGCATTTAATAAAATTGTCAGAAAGTATTTAGTATCTAACAATTAAAAAACAAGTTCCAAAATTGCAGGGGTATGTGGAATTCAGCATTTTTTACCAACTTTTTTTCTCAGTTGGTGTGTTAGTCAATCATCTAGGAGGTTTTACAAAATGCACCTGCCTACTCTCTACCCTAGACTTATTGAGTCAGAATTCATAGGGTAGGAAGAATAGTGTATCTTCATAAAACTTGCTCAGAAGTTCTGTGATATCCTCTGGGTTGGGATGTTAAACCATACTGACTGGAAACAGATTAACACATTGACTGCCACACTAGAAAAAAAAAATTCCCTGGGGCCATGATGTTTTATTATGAAAATAGAATAAAAAATTCAAAAATAAAATGGTGCTTTCTAATTTAATTAAAAATTTCAATTTTGTATTTTTTTTGTGCATGAGTTATGCACAACTTGAAAAACAGTTTATGTGGCTCAAGTTAAAGAGACATGTGAGTTACATATGTTTCATAAGGCCCTAGACTCAAAACTAGCGCGAGTTAAATAACAAATCACCTGGCAGTTAATATGTTAATCTTGCATCTTACATCCTTGTATCTGCCTACAATTATTTAAAAGGTTCCCAGTGCCTACTGCATTGGAAAATTGCATAATCACCAGGACAGACTCCATGAACATTGTAGATACTCCACAAACTGATTTTAGCTTACCTTTCAACAGACACTGAATTTCCAACTTTCCAACAACATTTATTGCCAAACATAGCCCATCTTTTCTGCTCCTGCACATCTCTATATCCTGCATTCCCCCTGAAACTCCAGCACTTTCATCAATTATTCCAGGAATCCTTCCTATTCATCAGCAATCAGCTAAATGCAGCCTCCTTCATGGAATTTTTCTTGTTTTTCAATGAATAAGGTAAATACCTTATCTAGAATCTCAAAACATTGTGTTTACATCTCCTTTTTGGATCTCTCACATTTTGACATGATAATACTTTTAGTTTAAAAAATAATTCTGGTAAGAGCATAATATTATGTAAAGAAGAACATCTAACTTCATTTTGTACTCCCCACCTACCTAGCATAAGATCATGTTTTATACAGATTATGAATGAATAAATGGATGGGTAGAAGGATGAATAAAAAGAGTAAAGGATTGGGAGCCTTCTGTTTGTAATTGTCTATAATCCCACTTTTTCATGGCACTGTACAAAATAACACATTTAACAAAGTGTATTCATATTTAGAGTCATGATTTTTGACCAAGTTGAGGACCAATAATGAAGATGAAGAAAAATCTCTACCAAGCATTGTGGTAATCCTTCTATGCTTGATAAAACAGGGAGTGGTAATGCCAAAATTCTCCCTCAATAATGTGTTTACACATGTATCCTCTAAACATATAAAACTATTATGTACCCATAATAATTAAAAATTTAAAAAAAGAATATTGTGTTAGGAAGACCCAAGGCTTCACTGAGTTTAGATCATTCTTGGAGAGGGATCAAGCAAAAATACTAAAAATGTAGAAGTTTTTTCCCCCTCTGTGGTGTTAAAGAAATTATAGTATTCTCCTAAATATGGAAGACACAACAGAGTAAACTAATTTTTTTTAAACGTTCAAAGCCAAGCTCCTAAAGCCCCCAAAAGAACTTCTTTTCACACTAGTAAAGTGTGGAGTTATTTCTGTATCACTTGGGTTAAATGGTCAAAAGCTGATATAATTTAATGCATGGGCCCACCTGACAAAATTAAGTACTTGTTAGTCAGCATTGGCTCTAGAATAGTTAAAATTTAATATCTAAAACTCTCTTGTTATGTCCAAGAACATAAAAATACAAATATTTTTCAGAAGATTTTGGGCTTGAGATCTGCCTGACTAAAGTTCAAAATCACTCAATAGTTAATATTTTTATTATTAGATAATCAAAGGTTAATCTGGATATGTGTGAACAAAGCTTGTATTTTTAAATCACAGAATATTTTACAACTGTTTTGCAAAATTAAATAGCAGCTGCTGCTGCTGCCATTTTTAAAACCATCAATGCATCATGGTTAAAATAAATCTGGCTTATTGGTGACTTTTTTCTTACATAAAATCTTTAAAAAATCAATTTTCCTATGTTAAGAATGAAGAAGGAATTAAGAATATGATTTTGCAGCTAAAAGAAGTCATAATATAACATTCAAATAATCCTCTGATGATCATGAAAATCCCAAATAAGGCTCAAGAAGACACAAGGAAAGGCTTGGAGTAGTAAGCAAAAGATTTGTGAAATAAAATTGATTTCCATTCAAATCAGGTCTTTTACTCTTCTTGAAAATGTCAAGGTGTCAGCCTTGGCCATTACGAGGCTGTGATTTATAGTTGAGACAAAGCGATAGAACCAGCTGACTGTCTGGGGCTATGGCACAGTGTCTGGAAAGGCTGCCCATGACAGCCATCTCTTTTCTTAACCAATCAGCAAGGCTTAACTGAGACCTGAGTCTTTCTTCCTCTATCTTGATAAGAAAATGATAAAATACAATCCTGGAAGATTTACTCTGTGGGAAATAAACAAGCATTGTGAAGGGAAGTAGGTATCATTCTTTCACAGAATAAATTACAAACATTATTTATGGCAATCTATATTTCAGTCCTCTAGAAACACATAGTTATAATGGGACCATAAACAGATGTCCCAAATATGACAACTTATGTTAATATACTGGAAACCACAGCATACATTTTTAATTTGATTAATTAGTAAGAAGAATGGCAAATGTTAAAATAAATTTTCAAACTCTCTAAATTATATTTACAGCTTTGCTCATCTGCATCACAAAAAAAAACTCAAAATGTTTTGCATTCGAATCGCTATTCATAGCAAATTAATCTTTTTCTCATTGAGGAAGATTCCTAAATAGTAGTTCTTGATAGTAAATATTAAAACCCACCCAGGTCATGCCATGATAAGCAACAGAGCAAAAAAGTAAAGAATAAGGTATAAGAATCTAACATCCTAGTCACATAATTGTAGACATCACATATATCTCAGACACACATACATACACATATATGGTAGAAGGGGAAAAATCAATTCATAAACAAAAATAAATGGTTTCCAAGAATCAGCAACATAAATCTCCCTAACCTTGCAGGTAAAAGTGGGAAGCATATAAAGTTTGCCGTAACCAAATGGTGGCTGAGTATGGACACATTCTTTACCAAACTCTTACTTCTAATAATCCTAAATAAGTTTAAAACATTTCAAATTCCTAAATGAGAAAAAATACTGACTTTCCTGATATGTGCCATATATTAAATGATTATGGAAAAGGTCAATGAAATATAACTAATCTCCATGATCTCAAAGTTGAGATTTGCTGAAGCAGATATTTCATAGTTTCCTGGCTGTACACAATACGTTGGGCAAAATAACCTAATATTGCCTGCATGTTGATAGGCACCACTAAGTTTACCAAGGCAAACATATTTGACAAAAGCCTATAAAATAACATTATGCAAAGCAATTTTAAAGTCTGTAGTGGTTGTTGTGTGTCTTGTTACATTTTTGCCTGCTTTAAATTTCTTTCACTTTCTGCCATTGCCAGACCCTCATTCATTCCTCACTGCCTTGATAGGTTAATCTTTTGACTTCCTACGTGGGCTGTCCAGTCAAAGCAACTCTTGTTTGGACAGAGGAGTGTCTCCACAGTTGGGCATGAGACCAGCACAGAGCCAACCAGACTTTTCTGATAAATGAAACTGATGTTGGAGTAGAGAGAAGTCTGAAGGTGCTGCGGCCATCTTTGCCACCACATGGAGAGAGGCTACCTGAGAATGAAGTCAACACAGTGGAGACAAAAAGAAGGAAGGAGAGAGTGATATCAAGTGGGAGAGGCAGACAGGGCAGAGAGACCTTGGGGGGAGGGGGAGAAGAATGCATGAATTAATGAATTAACAGCTTATCTTGAGTTGAAAAGTTACATTTATGAATTGCTGAATTTCATGTAGGTTTCATTCTCAAGTAGACTCTCTCAATAGTCACAACAGAGATGATCATTAGCAGGTCAAAACTTCTAGTCTCTTTAAAACTTGCAATCCCTGATAACAAAGAACGACAATCTTTTCTCCAATATCTAAGTTACTTTTAAAAGAAGATATTAAGGAAAAGCCTGCAAGAAATTCCATCCCGCAGTCGACGCCATACTGCCCTTGAATGAATTCTACAAATAGTGTTTTATGTCAACATTGGGGCTAATAAAAAATATATATATTCTTATAGATGTTGGTATTCCTTATAGATACACATGTCTTATAGATACATAAAAGGCAAAAAGAATTTCCTAACTCAATAACTAAGAAATAAGGTAGGGATCGCTTTTTCATCTCTCAAATTCAGAATCACATAATCCAATTATTTATCAGTAATTTACTCCATTACATTTCTTTAAAATAATTTAAATAATAGAGTTGAATGAGAGAAAATAAAGTGGAAAGAACATACAATTTGAGTATTTTTCTTCCAAACTAGGATGAGCAATTCTGTTATATGTCTAATTGCTAAAAAATACATTATTTCTTTGTCCCATGTATACATTTGGTTGTTTTTAGTCTGTGCACTAGGTGGCCTTCACTAGGGCACATCCCTTGGAAAGAAAACACATTTTCTTTAAACATAACACACAATCCCTTTAAGATTCTGTTAATCATTTTTCCTCTCTAATTGAAAAAGTCACCACGTAAATTAGAGTACAAATTTTATTCTTCTAGAAAGAACCTTAAAAGTTGACATTTCTTTGAACAATTGTTTCAGAAATCCTTTTTTAAGTACATTTTCATTTTCTGGCATGGCTTGAATTGAATTCTAAACTTTCTGCTGCCTGTCCTCTAAGCCCCTCTGGTGAATTTAAATAGGCTTCCCTATATATTTAGTACATTCAAGAATTCTTTGTCGCAGTGCCTACTCTGCTTTATTATTAGAGGGCTGCCTCGGAAGTCCAGCAGCCAGTTTGTTTTCTGCCATTAATAAAGAGTCTACTTTTTTCCCCTACTTCTTTGAAGAAGTTGAAAAGGCTCCATTTTGGGTGGAGGGGGGCCAGGAAGAGAGGGAGAAGTGAAGGGAACCAACTGTGGTGTAATCCCCCAACAAAAAATGTTGTCTAATGTAGAAACCTCCCCAAGGTTTACAAATGCTCGGGCTGGGCTTTTAGCGTGATGTGTAACGGAGTAATAACTTAGCCACAGACTAGTCCCCCTCACCTTCAAGATTAGGATATGTACTACAAGAATGAAATTACATTTCAAAATTCAATAAAACTAAATGCTTCGGTTGGCTAATACTTCAACACCACCCAAATCTCTTCCTGAAGATGTTTGGAAGCTGTAAAAACAAGCACAATGTAAATTTTTGATTTCTTGCACTTCACTTATAGGTCTAAAAAAACATATATAAGGATTTCAAGAAAGACCTACCAATTTGGATGTGGAAAATACCAATGTTGACTCATGACCTAGGGAAAGCTAATTCAAAAGCAAGGAAAGATGATTTCACAGAATAGTCACTTGGTGCTCACAAATCATCAGACACCTACCGACAAAGAGGGAGAAACTTCTTAGATAGAATAGTTAAATCTGACTACACAGAGAACCCAAACACCCCTAAAACCTTACATGGTCAAGACAAAACCCAAGAGTTATTATTATCATTACTTGATTTAACTGATATAGTCCACGGTTATATTGAACACTTGTTTTGTTTATTTAGGAAATAATTATTATGGTAACAGTTAAAATCACATTTCTTATGTCAACAATGAAAAATTTACTTCATCTTATCAGAATTTTTCACTTTTATTAATATACTGTTCATAAAATATGCATCAAATTAGCAGAGTAATTACATAAAATGAAACTATTTAATCTTAAATTCATATAATCTCAATTACCTTCAAGTTCCACCTGCTTTCAAACTTGCACAAGTAAAATATGACATACAAGTTAATATTATTGGTTGATAATATACTTCTGATAAAGCTACATTTAACATGGAGGGATGTGGGAAAAAGCAAGATTTAATGAAAATTGAAGCTAACTCATTAAAGAAATGATATGGATGATTTTATGAAGATGTCTCAATTTTCATACCATTTTTATTAAACCTTTTTAAGAAATGAAGATATACAGAGAAAAAAAAATATATATATATATATGACACAGTGTCTATTTGGTCACTGATAGATAAGAAAACTAAATATGAAGATGACACCTAGATAATAATGGCACCTAAGTTTCTGCACACTAAAGTATGCACTTACAGATCTACTAAAAAGTATATTTTTCAAATGTTTACAAATCCCCAGAATTTTTTTTAAATTTCTCTATATTAGGAACTTTGTTTTCCTTCTCCAAATGCAGTCACTAAGGGATCAGTGGGATTTGAGTGCTAAGTTAAATGTCTAGTAAAAAATTAAACAAAAGAATCCAAGCAATCAAAATGATGCCTGCATTTGCTGCCTACAGAAATGTAGGCTGCACTGCATTTGTAAATGGCAAGAAAATTTGGGCGTTAGCTAACCCTTTATGTACTGCTTTTCTCAAAACTCATCCTAACATGACAGCTGTAAAATCATTTACATATTGAAGGTGTATTAGACCAAGCCTAGGCACATGTAACAGCATGCCCATTTGAAGAGGAGTTTAAGGTAGAACATATCCTTTCTAATTTCATTAGTAATTAACTTGTACTATAATTCCCCTGAGATACTTATTCCTCTTCAAGACATTATTAACGTAGCCTAATGCTTAAATGATTTAAGAATATCTCTACACCTGTTCTGTAGCTTCACTGGAATACTAAAGTGTTTAGGACTTTTATACTGAGAAAGATATTGATCCCATGAACCCTGAAATGAAATACAATCATATTTAGAATTGGCAAAATTCCAGAGTGGCTTCCTTGATGGATCCTAAAAGGCTTTAAAAAATGCCATTTTGGAAAATTGATGTTTTCCTTACAGAGATTAAAAGTTAAAAGCATGAGCATCACAATATTATCAGAGCACTACAAAGGAGACAAAAGAAAAACTAATACTTCATTGGTCTTTGGTAGATGTTTAATTTGAGCGATGATTTTATTTTTAAAAGGAACTTGAAGTTCACAGTAAATTAGCAAACAATGTGAGAAAGAGAAAGAATCAAGCAGGGGTTAGTCTATTTATGTAAAACAGTGATTTGCTATTTCAAAATTAAAATGTACAAATAAGCTGGTGTCAGAGAGGAGGTGATTCCTCATTTCCACCGCATTGAGCAAGCTCACATCGGCAGCAGACAGCCCTTAATATATGCGTCTGGCTCAGGCTGGTCTCCCAACCAGGAAGCCATCGAATTGTTAATATCACTGCTTTTTTTGTATGCAACACACATCATTTTCTCGCTCTTTGTTGTAGATCTCTCCTTTTATTTTAAGCTTAGTATGTATGGTCTGATTTTCCAAATCATATTATAAAGCCTCAAAACAACATTATCCTTTGACAGCTGAGATAGAAGTGCAGAAAATGTGGCATCGTCTACACACATACAGCATAAAGTGGCTTATATAAACAAAGTCACCCACTTATATCTATACACACCTTTATAGAGTAAGAGAAAAGCTTTATCAATGATGCTCTCACAAAAGACAGTTCACTTAAGAACTTACATACAGAAGGTTCAAATAGTGCAAGACTATCAGTAAAAAATATATATTTCATATGTTTATGGGGAAAATGAAGAAATATCATTGCATTCTAAATTCAGCTTTGGTATTTCTTTTATAAAATAGAAGTTAATATACCATATGGTTCATAAATACAATAACATAAAAAATTGCATTTGAAATAGCCTATATTGAATATCATGATAGCAAATAAACATCCATCCTTTACATTATTTTGGAACTAAATTGATGGAACATCTTATACAAATTACTTATGATTATGTTAAAACAGGTGTCAGTAAACTATACTTATTATGTGATATTGTCGTATGTAAGAGGTAGTCTCTGATCCATTGTGTTAACATTGCTATTAAATATAATCGAGTTTCTGTGTATATGTAGACACATAGATTTCTTTGTATTGAGAAACAGGGTTTTAAAAAATATTCAATTTCAGCAAGAATGAGGTTAAAAGAAGTAAAAGATAAATACTACCAAAAATCTTTACTGTTTATATTAAGTCCTTTCATCTGGAGTTTTAAAACATATGTATATATACATATACACACCTCTAAAATTTCAGAACTTCTAGATAAAGTTAGTGATATAAATAAAGAACCTGAATAGGTACAGTGTGGATACATGCTTAAATATATTCTATGTGCCTTGTATGACATATGCTTATAATATTGCTATATTAACTTTTAGGAAATATAACTAATAGATGATATAAATTCTATTTAATTTCAAATCATAAGTTGTATATCAAATTTTTTAAAAGGTGAACAAAGACTGCACACAGTATTCTAATATACATTCATATATTTATTTTAACAATGCAGAAGACACATGATTTATGGTACCCATGTAAAGCAATAGGGTTAAAAGAATGGAGTTATTTTGTTTCTTCTATTATAAAAAGTATCTCATCTCCATTTTTAATCTTGATATGTGTAATATTATTGTAAAATTTTTAAATAGATTTAGTATATTGATTCTATCTCCAAAAAGTACATATTTGATGTGGCAATGGCTATTAAATATTCAAATATGACAGATAGTTATGGTTGTAATAGTTACCTCTGATCAAACTAAAATTTATAAAACTAAAACTATGCAGTTCGGATTCAGTTGATAGATGAACTAGAGCAATTTGACTTCATAGGTGGCATTTACTGTTTTATCACACATTAGATCCATGATATACACAAAACAAAATGTAAAAACTAAAAGATAGCATATTTTCCCAAATTATTGATAACTTTCACTATTAGACTCTCATAACAAGAGAATTGTTAAGGCATATAAAGTATTTTGTTTGGGTAAAAAACTAAGGAAAACTCTGGCAATAAATGCCAAGTATAAAACAGCATTCTTCTTAGATCGGTAGTAAAATCTAATAGGGTCAGCAAAGAAGATTGTAAATCATGTTATTTCTAGGCCTCGAGCATGATTATAGCTGTATATTACATATTCTAAGCCACAGTTATATGAAGACATGTAGGATTTATTTAAGTAGGCAATGTACATATTTCAATGCATATGAAAAAAGTTATAAATATAAACAACTCTCTTCATTAACTAAGGAGATAATCTCTTATACTAGCCACCTTAAAATACACCAAAAGAAGTATTTAAAAGCACTCGTATTTTAATTTTGCTTCTTACACAGATATCATATTTCTTTTGTATGATTGTTACAATACAAACGCTATTTCAGTGCAACTGTGTATTCACTTTAGAGTACAGTTTCTGACAATAGTATTTTTGGAGGTGGGTAATGGTGAAAACACTGCTCATTATAAAGAAAAGCATTGTTCTTTTCTCCTAGGCAGAATCTATGTATGTTCTTTTGTTCTGGTTGTAACTGCAGACAATCAGTAAGGTCCAAAGCTGCTGGTTCCCCTCCGCCTAGGTCCCAAGAGCCTGACTTGTGATGTTACTAAAATACCTCACAAGTTAGGGTCTCAGGGACTAGGAAAAGTCTGGTTTGATGCAGTAGAATTCTTCTTCCAGTAATAAGGATAGCTTAGAAATTAGAGTGGGTTCAGTTAGACTTTACCTCTAATATTAATTAAAATACATAAGTAAAAATATATATGATATGTAAAAGTTAGGATGAGCTGAGTAATCATGAAGATCATTTATAGACTAATTCCAGACTTTAAAATAATGAAGAATATGAGAAACAATGCAGACAACGAACAGTTAAGAGTCATTCCATTAGATCCAAAGAAAGAGCCTAAAAATGGGTTAAAATCTGCTTCTAGCAGATTTGTACAGCAACATCTTAGCCTCTATTACATTAAAGAAGGATTATATGCCAGTTAATGGGACCCTAATTGAAATTCTGCTTCTTATTACACTTCTATACAGCACAACTCTTAAGGTGGGCCCAGGACATATAATACTTAAATCGGATTTAAATATATACCGTTGCAGTTAAGAACAAAACAAAAACTTTTTTGCATGTCATAATTTAATACCTCTGAAGCTCGATTTTTCTCTTTGAATCTCCAAACTATTCAGACAGCAAATATTTCCATGCATACTCTGTAGTTATTTGAGCAATGCCACTTAATAAACATGTAACTTAAAATGCTGGCAACATCATAAGAAAAAAAAAACATGAATCTATTTCTTGAATAATTAAATTATAAAGCTCAATACTTTTGAAAATACACAATCCCAATCCTGTATATTCACTGAATTTCCTCCGATCTTTTAGCCTTGTTTGTGGTTCGAGTACAGAATTTGTACTTTAGGAATGATCCAAGATTTAGTAGCATAGAACGCAGGGTAAAACAATCAGACCAGCCATAACATAAAAGTCCTGGCCACAGAAGTAGAATCTGGTTCTTCTGAAGTGGTTGATCTTAAAAGGGAAAAGAGGA